GGGGGGGGGGGGGGGAGGGGGGCCCGTCACCTCCTGGGGGACTCACTCACTCTTCGCGCCATGGACAGGAGTGAGTGGGAATTTTACCTTGATGCCGCGCGATCCTTCCTCCTTCATTAATCCAGCACCTCGACGACGACCTCGCGACTATCGAGGGCCCGGCCTCGAGCGGTAGCAGTAGCCCCCCACGTCGACCGTAAGTCGTCTCACACAGCTCCGGTCGCCGTCATCTCGCTCGCGCGGGGGAGTCGTCGCGGGGCAACGCGCGCGGAAGAACAGTCTGATCGGAGGACTGAGCGCGTCCTCGAACGAGGACGAGCGACTCGACGACGCGGGCGACATTCGACGCGTCGGGAGCGTCCAACCGGAAGTTCAGGAGAGTCTGCCGGCTCTCTCGTGGAAAACGCACAACCGGAGGCACCCGAGGCTTTACCGGGCTGAGTCGACAGGTCGACGCGAGGGTTCTGACGTCGAACTTGAAAAGGTCGCGACCAAGGGGTTGCGATTCCACGGAGGAGGTGATCACAGAAAGAGAGAAAAAGAGAGAGTGTGTGTATGTGTGTCTGCTTGTCAAACTAAAGAGGCAACTCGAGTGACAACGGGACACGAAGAAACGTACGAGCAGGAGGAGGAGGTAGACCAACGGAGGTCAGAAGGAAACGTTCCGGAAATGTCAATGATGACGAAGACGAAGATCAGGACGAAGATCAGGAGCGCGTGGATCACGATGAGGGACTGCTGTGCGGCGTGAGAAGAGGAGTAGGTGCGTGGTTCGCGTTCAACAGCTCGGAGCAGAGTGAGCTGAGCGAGTGGAGGCGGCGGAGGAGGCGGTGGCGGCGGCGGCGGCGGCGGCGGCGGCGTCGATGAGGCCGGCGACGTCGACGTCGACGTCGTTCGGATCCGCTCGGCGTAGCTCGACTCGGCTCGCCACCGCCGGAAAATACACGCGCGTGCGTTAGTGAATGCGTAATAGAGTAGTGCGGCGCAAACGCAGCGCAGCGGTTCTCAAAGCACACCCGGTAGATCGGATTAGTCATCGGTGCCGTCGGAGAGCTCTCGTTCGTTCGGCTTTATGGTGTTTTCAATTTCGCCGTCCCGTCGAAACGTGCACTCTCCTCCTCCCCCTCCTTCTCCTCCCCCCCCCC